AATCGTACTAGCCATCTGTATCTACAGCTACAAAGTCTACCATCCTCGTAGTTATTAAATATGGCTAGATTCTAATATACTGGTATTTTGACGTGGATGATAGCATAATAGAGCGTATCTTGACAACTAGAATGGTTTGCTATCACCAACCCGTAAGAGCAGATACTGCACAGCGAATGCTCCAAATTTGATACATACACGGCCATACATGCGAATTCCATCTGTTCAATAAAATATGTTCCGTATATGATCATTTCATCCGATGATTATCACGCTGTCCTCGGAAGGAGTATCTTCGTTTCTAGTATTATCCCCTTTCCCCTTTGTCACGTGATCCCTGCACACCATGTATTCCTATCGTACCCACTGTTAGTACTAGCTTAGAGTCTACCATCTACAACAACACAATACATCAATGGATCACATATCCTGACACCCTTCCCCTCTCTTGGATCTCAACTATATATTGAATCCAGTTCACATGGGACGAAAGTAGCCTTCCACATCTACATTCAGGTATCACCCACTTGACATTGAGACTTGAGAGGCCCAACGGCAATCAATCAGGATAAAATCCTTTGATTTCTTGTGCCGTAGTAAATAAGAGTAAATAATAGTTTTATGTTGTCGGTACTGGAATTTTGCGATGCTGCATGAGTAATCTTTTTTTAGGTTGCTTAAGTCGTGCTGATACTGGCTAAGTCGAACTATATAAGCTCTTGCCTCGTAAGCATATGTTTTGCACTAACGCATCATCAGGGGAAATTAGGGAGATTTTATGCAACGTAACAAACCCCTAACTGAGCGAATGGAGGTCCTGTGAGGTGGCTGCTTGAAAGGAAGCTATGTAACGACACGTCTAATGCATTTACATTAGACGGACTTTGGACACGATATTTTAGTACATCAGACGTAAGCTAGAAATAGATCAAGCTAGACATTAGCTATCTTAGTCAATGTCTAAGGAAAAGTTAATCGCACAAGGACGAATAGCCGAAAGTTTAACCCCAGCATAGAACAAGTCTGGAGAGGTTGCTCAAATCCAGCTCCCCCTTTCTCTTTAAAATCTGACTTCTGAAGGCCTGCTCGGAGATCGCGAGTTTACTGAAGTACGCCACGAAGCGAGCAGATACAATCTACCGAGCTGCTTCAACTTCAGGGGATCCTCGACATCAGGAGGCACAGAATATTATTTGCAATTTATGGAGGTTTGGATAAGGGTAGCTATTTCGAGAATAATATAGAAACGTAAGCGTAGCCATGTGAGATTATAGCGTCTTTTGCTTGGAAGCTAAAGTCCACGCGTTCGAAGGAACGGCAGGCGTCCAGGAGGACCTGGTACAATAGACTTGTCAACTTAAAATATTGATGAGTGTAGAGGCCTGTATGACGGGAATCAGACAAAGGTGAGATACTAGTAGAGGTGCCACATCAGCACCACCAACAGTCATATAATATACAAGATCCAACCTAGTTGGCTTTCTAATATTTTCCATCCTTCTAACCTAGCATTTTGCAAAATTTACGAACCAAACAACCCACCCCAATTTTTGCATATCTTTAGACTACTGTCTCTGAAGGAACATGACTTCGAATTATCCTCCTTTTCTTCGCAGGCCTCTTAGTGTGAATATTTGGTCACTTGAAGTTTACAGGATTGAAGTGTCGCACAGGCGAGTCCGTTGTCGTTGTCAACCACGACGGGCTCATGACCACATTGTGACCCGGCGTCGCATATACCCTATATTCTTCGACTATCCCAGATAAATCCTACGAGATGGAGTTGAGTCAGCATCAGTCACCGCTATTGAAGCTCCGCCCCGAAATCCGAAACATTATATATGGTTTTTGCTGCCCGCCGCCAGGCAAGCACGGTGGTGTTATCGTCCTTAAGAGGATCAAGAAACTAGCCGATATACCATCCATCCTCGTTACCTGTAAGAAGGTTTACAAAGAGGCATATCCTATAATATGTGGCTCCCTGAGGATAGACGTAGCTGTCGCACCTAGACTCAAGATTGATGTCTTCGGAATTGGCAATCTGAAGCCAGCCTCCATTCGCCACCTATCGCTCAACTGCACATTCGCCAAAAATAGGTATATTCGGCTAGAGCTACTACGATGGTTCAACAAGGCCGTTGTCAATCTTCACAGCCTGCACGTCCACCTCTCCATCGCAGCGCTGGCTCCGTCATGCCTCGACATGGCAAAATTTCGTCGCATCCCCGAGACAAGCTGGGCAATCTTGTTGGAACGAACGATGATCAACAACATCAAATACCTCTCGAAATTTTGCATGCGCATCAAGACCCTCCAGGTCCTCGAATTCAGCGGCGAGCACCGGGAGCGGATGGCCAAAGCCATTGGAGAAGAACTTGCTCGGCGTGGACACCCTTTGAAGAAAATTACCCCGGCACCTCAGCCTTACAAGGGCAATTTTGTGGTTTGCGCAGCAGAGTGAAATGCCGGACTCTCGACTTAAGAGGATCTACATGGAAATCTACACTCCTAACATTTCCATTAAACGGACCCTAAACCTACCTAAAGCTTTCTGTTACCTGCGGTACAGCGTGTCGGGGCGTTTGGGCACTTCCTATATGGCCTCCTATCAACTCGACATGAGCAGAAGGATTCTATCCGAGTATATGGTCGAAGGGAAGCAAGGAATCATCATTGGGAAGACCCCTGCTTTCTATCTAAGATGAGAAGGGTATGCGGGGATTGATTTTTAAAGGCGTGAATGTCTAGGGGAGGACATGATGATGTCTCAAGCATGTAGTAGCAACGGAATTGAGCACTGACTAAGTCCACCCACGGATATGCCTAAGGCTTAGGCACTCGTCATCTCACTCATTTTTTATTTCTTTATAAAATCAGAACTTCAACTCTGGGAACGTACCTTTGGGTATGTTACACCAGGACAGTGTTAATATATTACTGTTTGCGATACATTCGCAATATACCAAAGTACTGGTCTGATTTGGTTGAAAACGATCGTTACATATACTATTCTGTCAAATAATACTAGTCTAACCATTGAAATCATTTCTAGTACGTTAAGCCGAATGAGAGTCCCAAATGTGCTCCATCATCTAATGTTAAACTAAGTCTCGCACAATCAGAGGTATCGCCGCAGATATCAGCCGTGTCAATGCTTAAATGAGAAAGAATGTCGTAGCAAAAGGAAAGTCTAGCAAACCCAGATACCAAAGATCGACAATTATCCCTCAGATACAGTATCGCGAGCTCTGCCGGATATCACAATCATGCTATCAGGTTCGGGTTCATTGAGGCCCGCATGGAAAAGGCCGGTTGATAGCCCGCCATGTGAATTCTAGACACTCTCGCAGTTGAGAAATAGTTATTGCCCACTCATCATGTCTGAAGAAAAATACGTAGGTCACTGCAGCTTGGAAGCCAACTGCTATGGCTGCTTTGACCAGAGCCCGATGTCTATGGTCCCAATCCGGCTCTTGCGGGCGATTCCGATTAGCGATGAGCCGCCATATCATTATGGGGCTGTATCCAGATACCGCCGTAAATTGAAAGACCCAGGTGTTACAACCACCCATTCCTGAATATCCCCGCAACCAGCTACCACGTGATTTATGGTTGCCAAGAGGGATAGTGGCTTGGCAATCAAGTCCTATTTACTAGGAAGCTATTCAGATATAAAAAGGACTGTATTTCGCCGTCCCTTAGATAGTCTCTCTTTGCTAGCCAGCGATCAATCTAAGTATTTTACCTTTCACGCCTTTTGTTATATCAAATCAAGACCTGTGGTAACGGCTTCGTTACACCAGGCGGTTTCGAGAATGACATGATAGCTAGTAAGAGCTGGCGGTAACTGCATAGTAATTGTTGGCTGTTGATGTTTGTTGATGCTGGTCGTATGTAGGTATGATGTGCCTGTGTCGTATAGGTGTTGGAGAAAGCCTTCTTGAAATGCTGCTAGAATGACAGCGTTGTATACAGTTCTTGAAGGTCTCCAGGAAAAAGTGTACCAAGAAAAAAGGTCTTGGATTGGAAGAAGGCAGCAACGCTGTTCACTTTATAGGATGCCTGCACAGGAAGTAGAGAGGATCGGCATGCAGGCGAACCAACACTTTGCCTCAGCCTCTATCGAGCTGAACTATTGATGTCACCAACATTGGATGTATGCATATTATGCATTGAATTCATATATCCTCGGTATGTAGGCCCATTCCTTCGCAGTTTCTGGTCGGCATATCAGCGATAGTGTAACAAGGGCTGTGATTCAGGGCTTGGAATATATCAATTTGACTAATAATTCTCTAGGGCCTCTGAGGTGCTTATGGTTCTGAGTTTCAATCTAAGTCTGAAGGTCGACAACAGGTCTTATATAGACCTGCTGTCGCGGTACGTGTTTCTGGTACGTATCTTGTTTGTGTGTACAATTTGGTTCAGAAAGTCGACGCTGTTACTATAGAGTCTATTGTTCGCACTATTTTGACGAAAAACTAGAATAAGGAGTATCGAAGCTTCGCCCGTCCTTTCTATCTAACACGAGTCACCAATATTAGGAACCTAGAAGTGCGCTGTTTTATAGTTGAAGTTATATATTTCAAACCACCGGAATAAGAATTATCTCGTCAAGCAGTTTGAAAAGCCACCTCCTCTAATAGTTATTCTAAACTTATCGAGTCACCCGTTCCACTTAATAGTCGAGTTCCACAAGAGAACTACCTAAAAGATTTCCTCAGGAAACCTCTCTAGGTAGCTTAGCTGTCCGTCACTTGCACTTTGTCTAGAGTAATAGAAGAAATCATGCCTCTCTCTACAGTCACCTTGAAGCACCGCGTACTAGGTAATGCACAGCCTCTCTTATTACAACTTACAAGACCTTTGCGCTGGGGATTGTAGCTCCAACTCCTAGGTTATGTAAGACAACTGAGTCCGTGCGCTAACATCGCTGGAACCTATGTCACGTGAGCTTGGAAAATGCAACATAAGCCCCATAAAGAATACTGTTTCGCACAGGTCGATTAGTGTAGAGGTTAGCACGCGGGATTTTGATTGCATGAAAAACATCTTCCCGAGACGGGGGTTCAATTCCCCCATTGACCTTTTTTTGGTATTTCAAGAAATACAAAATGCCTATCGTCTATTAATAAACTACCTTTTTGATTCGGCTTTCTTGTGGTGGCGCTCTCAGAAAGTGACGAGGACATATCTGAACTCAAATATGGTATAGCGAGATATTTGGCAATTAAGAATTTACACATGCGCGTAATTAATGCAGGTTATGAATTGGGTCGGTGCACTCCTAATTACATAAATCATAATCGTACGTTTTACGTAGGTTTCTACTTTTAGCCTTGCGAGCTAATAATTGTTCACTGAACAGATGGTTCCTAATCACTGCTCTGTAGCCTGTCTACCTCCGCTGTAGGCAGCCCACGTGTACCTATATTTCCGACCATTCATTCCTATGGTCCTAAGACAGAGCTTCTTCGGCCTGGCTCCGTGCATACCCGCGGCACTGGAAGCTAATGACGCCTGTGGTCCTCTGGAGAATATCTTCAAAGCGCTTCCAGTCAGCCGAGCGATCAAGATATAGGCCACAAGACAAGTTGATACCGTGAAGTAAGAATAGAGGCACTAGACAAATACTTATTGCACTTGAAGGATCGCCCTAAGCCGTTGTGCTACTTTACCACGAAACAGCATCAACCTCTGGTTCAAAGAGGGTCTTTTCCTGCCTGCGGAATCTCACAACCGCCTCGTGCACGACGTCGCAAAGCTCTGCCGGTCCACTGACTACTGCACCAACTCTCTTCCACCCAATCTGCACCTCTTGAGCCAGTAATGCATTTATATCCAGCCTCTTGCCGGCCAGGACCTCCTCTTCAGCTATGTTATTCAAGGGCTGTAGCTAGATTATGTATGAGAGGCTCGGCAGTCGGCTTCACAATCCCAGCGAGCTTCATATTGACTTGTGTGTAATGTTGAAATACAGGGTTAATGAGGCTTGGATTGACTTGAGGTTCAGCTATTCTAGAGTGGCAGATGGCCTGTTATATACACAATGCTACTATTCGTGCCTTGTACTGTACCAGTCCTTGACTCTCAATTCAACATGTAAGCCCAAATGAGCAAGCCCGTAATGACGAGCCACCGCTAATAAGCATCGCGCGGTCTCACTTTAGTACATATTCGCTCGCGCTGCCTGCCTCACTTAGGTCCGTTTAAAAGTACAGACAGATTGAAGTAAATTTTAAGGACGTTTGTGATGCCGTTACGTTTTTGATGTATACAATAATGCTATCTGCGCCCGTTGGCTGGTGAGAGCGTTCGTGTGCGTGAACTTACTGATGCCCTCTTCGATGTCCTTCCTATCAGAGGAAAGGTGCCGAATGGAATTGCTTCCCCTGATGAGTTTATATTTCTGAGAGTGAAGCATGAGAGTAGGAGTTATGGGAAAGGGGCGACTCTCTTGATGGCGGAGAGGGGTTAAAGTAGGGGAATGGATATATACATGATATCTAGGTTGGGAAGTCCATCACGGTCTTCTATTTAAATGCGGACAGTGTCAGGGGAAATTTCTGTCACCGTCGCTGTGCGGACTCCGTTCTTGCATACCCGCAGCACCCGAACAAGACGGTCAAAGAACCAAACAGCGCTGGCCTCATCGAGCCAATACTTGTAAACCGCCCTGAAACAATACCAATACATCACATTTACCAACAACCTGCGATTGGCGAAACTGGGATAAGTATGTGAAGTATAAGGAATACCTCATAGGACACACGACGGAACCAAATCATACCTTGGAAGATCAATATGACGAGGCAAGGAGTGGCCACAATGCCCTAAACCAAGTCAGGTTTGTGGGCACCCGTAAAATATGTCCCCATGGAGATATACGCTCCAAAGAGAGTAATGGAGTGAACAACGGCGTGAATAGTACAAATACATGCAACCCAGAAGTGAAGAACCAGGACGTGGAGAATGACCAGCTCGTTAGCCAGAAATGAAGTCGTTCATTGAAGAGAAGAGGACAGTTATCGGAAGGAGCGCGGAAGAGATGTGACCAGTACGTTATTAAACATATGGCATGATCTCGCCAGCATGGGAGAACCACCATGGGTCTGGTCGACCAACTCCTTGATATGAGACAGCACCTAGAATGACATTGAATACGATAATGTAGAGGCCCTGTCCTATCGTTGGTGCATTCCCCAGAAGTTATGGAAGTGGCCGGACGTTATAAGTACCCATGGTTGAAGGATATACTAGGTATGGCTTGAGCTTCGATGCATTAAGTCATATGAGGAAGATACTCGAGTACTGGTATCAATAGGGGTGTTCAAACACCGACAGTGATGGTTGAAATCCTAGAAAACGGTTATTTCAACTCAAGATAACTGGAAAGGCTTTCATGTCTTACCTACAGTATGATAACTGAACAGCTTCTTCCCAATCGAAGAGTTCGTTGAAAGAGTTTTGGTAATCATAGTCGCTAGCAGAGAGCAACGCAGTGTAGTTAAAAACTTGCTTACTCGCCCATATTCTATTCGAGACCTAGGTTATATTCTCAAGAGTCGCACCCCAAGTCCGTTTGATTGGAATGGATGAGTTACCAGTTGCTTGACCAGCCCAATACTCCTTGATCTTCATGCTTGACGCTTTTGCAAAGTTCCTCTAATTCCCTAGAAAGACTCTACCCTCCAGGATTGTCTTTCTAGATATGAATTTTTGTTAATGCACACGGAAAAATGGCATGTGTAAGACCAAGTGCTGAGCCTCTTCTGAGGAATATCTAATTAAGCAGCTCTCTGATCCCGCCAATACTTACCCTTCCGCCTCAATACCAAAATGCCAAGAAGGCACAGAACACCATCTAGTAAGCCCACGAGAGTGAAGAACCAAGCGATGCTTAGAGCACCCACTAATGGTTCCAATACAGCCACAGCAGTAGATGATAATGCACAACGTATGATGTTGTTACTAGCCGCAGCAGTGCTTGGCTTCTCTGGGAATATATCGACTAGAAGAGCGCTGTACATTTGGTGGAGTATCGTACATTTGGCGCCAATGTAGCATTGCAGAACCAATGGTACCGATGGATGAACTCTGCGTTGGACAGCCCATCCAAAGCCTAGTATAGCACCTATCGAAACACATGTGATAAGTATTGTACCCCGACTGCGCATCTGTTCAATAGGGATCTTGTGTATGTCTTCCTGTGCATGCCTTTCTGTTGGCAGACCAGCCTTGAGGACTACGACCTTATAATTCCAGTCCATGAGGCGGCCGCCAATGAAACCTCCGATTATAACTCCGAATCCACCAGCGAGATAGCACAAACCAACCTCTAGATCATTGAACCCATATCCGTTAGGTTCTTGACCGTAGATGATGGGTATGGAAGTCTGGATAAGGTACCAAACGCAGTAAGGGCTTGCTGCCAGGAAAAGGACTAGAGAAGTATCCCAGTAAAATATTATCCGTAATGAGGATAGGGGATTCGGGATTTTGAATTTTCCACGACCTATGGGCTCCTCCGTATTGACAGGACTCCTGTGCATAGCTGAGTGAAGATCTGCTTGACCGCAAGCCTTTCTTTCAGGAGGCGGATCAGTAACGCCAGAAACCTTTTCATGATGTCTGTTCTCTGTATCATTCCTTCGTTCTGAGCCAACATGCAAATGTCGTGTCTTTAGCTGGCCTTTGAGAGACCCAAGGATATCCCACCAGGTTCGCCAAATACCAACCGCTGGCACATTCCCATTGCCGACAACTACTCTATTGGTCTCAGGGAATGTCCATCCGATCAGTAAAAATGCGACACCACCAAGGGCCGTCAGCACCCAGAAACACCAGTGAGGTTCTCCAGTTGCATAAATTGCACCTCCTCCAATGACAGGTCCGAGGCATGGCCCCAAATTCCCACTCGCTAGCATCGGTCCTAGCATACTCCCGCGTTCGGCATGCGAACTTACGTCGGCAACCACCCCGTAAGCGATGCTCAATATGGCCGAGCCGCCTATACTCTGTGCCGCCCGAAGGAGAGCCAATGTAATGTAACTGTGTCCACTGAGGCCCAAGCCAATACTGGACACTGTAAATACACCAAAAGTAGCAAGGAAAACTGGGCGGCGGCCTAATGTATCAGATAAAGGACTCCAGAATGAAGGTGCCACACCCTGCAATATAACGTAGAGTGTAATCGTCAAGTTTATAGCCTGTACCGAGGTATCATATTGATTGGCAAGGAGGGGAATGAGAGGGAAGAATATCGTCGCTGATAGTGAGGAAATGAGACATAGAAAACCCAGCAGGTAAGTAAGGAAGCGTTTCTGATTTTTTGTAAAGACTGTGTAGGATTGTATAGGATGTGAAATTCTATTAACTGAAGAAGATAATGGCAAATGCGAGGACGGGCCCTCACAGTGTCCTTCCTCTAGAGTATCATGTTGACTCATTTTGAGGCGGTCGCTTTCTTGCGGATTTACTAACATTGGTTGGTAAAAGACTCGTAGGAGTGCTTGAGGAATATACTACAAGAGCATGATCATATCTCTACGGGCTAAGATTATGACTAGAAATAGATGGATGGAGATTAAGTCACCATATGTCGCTATGATAGGACATGGGCTTGGCTGCCAACTTCTATGTAGACGGGCTAGGTAACCCCTCTCCACACAGCGGTCCGGCCCGGTTTCGCATAAGCACCTATTGGCTTAAGTTGATCTCATCATGCCTATTTTACCCCAGTAAGCCAGGTCTCTCCTGTTATTTTAATTGATTTCTGGCAAAGAGATGACTTGCCAGGGAAGGACTCACAACCATTACCAGTAACTAGTTGCACAGAACTTCAGTGGCTCATAGCTCACCCAGTTACAACTTGAACCTAAAGTTGCATTCTAACTGGTATATGGGCTCGTCCTTGACTTGATTAACGACTGATATAACAGACACATTGCTCAAGTTTCCCCCCCAAGGAAACCCACAGAAGCTAACTCGAACCCTGAGAAGCTGTTGATCTTATGAAACAGTCGAGCACGTCTTTTGTTACTCTTAGAACCTGGTTCCAAAATGAAACCTCAAATACATGTTTACTA